AAAGTGTTTTTTTCCTGTTCTGTCTCTCAATTATCAACACTCCGGTGACCCCAGATTTGTGGAAATTTCTCCCCACATACCACATGAGCAGTTCTCCAGCAGACACCTGCTGGCTGTCTTCTAATTCAATTCATTGCTGACATCATCTACCTGGAGGTAGCCTAAGAGCCCACAGATTGAGGGTGCAGTCCCTAAGACTGCCACTCACCTCAGATGCCAGTCTCAAGACTGGGCCTGGCTATGAAGACTGACTGGCTACGAAGTAGGGTTCCCACAATTCTGAGGGCTCCTCAGATTAATTTGCTAGAGTGTCTCATAGAACTCAGGAAACCATACTACTTATGTTGATCAGTTTATAATAAAGGATATTCCGAAGGGTACAGATGAACAGCCAGATGGAAGAGATGTGCAGGGCAAGGCATGTGGGAAGGGGCATTGTAGGGTCCAGCCCTACAGGGTTGTGGGGTGTTCCCTATCACTATGCTGAAGCGCTGGATCTGAGAAATAGAGATAAGACACAGAAGGACAAAGAAAGCACAGCTGGGCACGGGGGGGCAACACCACTTATAAGCAGAGACAGGCGAAGCCCCGAATGTCCAAAAGTGTCTGTATTTATTGGGTATAGGTTAGGGGGCAGGGTAGTGAGTGAGGTCATCTAAGAGCAGTGATAGGGTCAAGACAATCTCGTGTGCAATAAGCAAAGAGTCCACCCTCATTAGGTCACCGAGGCAAGGAGGTGGGCTGTGTGCAGCAAGGGGTGCAGTGTGCAACATCTCTTATCTAGGGGCAGGCAACTTCTAAGGAATTCTATAGGAAGATGCTTTGAGCACAGTAGCTAAAGAGCTGACAGAGTATACAGCCACCTGCTGGCGGCTTCCAGTGATTTCTGCAGGAGGATGCTTTGAGTCAGTACATAGCAACAGGGCTGATAAGGTATGCAGCCACCTAGGTGCAATTACATCGGAGGGGTTTTAAGCTCTTGGATGCTCGCTGGCTTGCAACCTGAGGCCAGCTTTCCACAAGAACTGGATGCAAGGTACTACAATTCCCTTTCAGGAGGTGTGACTCTTGCTCCAAGTCTGCCATACAGCGGGTATCTTTACGATACTGAACGCTGCTGCCTGGGCTGGCATGCCATGTAACGCATGCCTTTTCAGACAGGGGCACTACTGCCTGGGCCACAAATTCTTGTCCTGGTATTACTATATTTTCCCTTAAATCATACTCTGCACCATGTCTGCTCTAGACATTCCTCTGACTATAAGCAAGATATGATTATATATGTGTAGCTGCTTATTCCTTAATCATGCTCTGTACTGTATCTGCTCTAGACATTCCTCTGACTATGAACTAAGATATAATTATACATATATAGGGAAATAACTGACTAGTAAGATATTCTTCAGGCACTAATTGTTCTGGCTATAAACTAATACATGATTATATAAAAGGATTATATAAAGGAAATAACTGAGTTGTAACAGCATAAACTAAGATATTCTTTGGGTACTAATTATGCCAGGGATCTGCTTAGCTCTCCTTCCCCGGTGCCCAGATGGGGGGTTACCCACAGGGCATGGAGCTCCCATGCCTTCTCCTGGTACACTGTACTCTAGGAACCTCCACATGCTCAGCTATCCAGAAGCTAGCTCTCGAACTCAGCCCTTTGACATATGTAAGGAAGCTTTATTAGGTAGGGATAATTGATTAAATTATTGACCACTGGTGAGCAATTAAACTTTCGGTCCCTCTCCCCGCCCCAGAGGTTGATGGGTGGAATGCTGAAGGTTCCAAACTTCTGTATTGGTCCATTTTCACACTGCTATAAAGAACTTCCCTGAGACTGAATAATTTTTAAAGGAAAGAGGTTTAATTGACTCACAGTTTTGCATGGCTGGGGAGGCCTCAGGAAACTTATAATCATGGCAGAGGGTGAAGGGGAACCAAGCACCTTCTTCACAAGGCAGCGGGAGAGAGAGAATGAGGGAGGAACTTGCAAACACCTATGAAACCATCAGATCTGATGACAACTTACTCACTATCATGAGAACAGCATGGGGAAACTGCTCTCCTGATCCAATCACCTACCTCCCTTTCTCCCTCTACACATGGGGATCATAATTCAAGATGAGATTTAAGTGGGGATACAGAGCCAAACCGTATCACCCTCTAAACATGGGGTTGGTTCCTTTGGCAATCAGCACCCACTGGGAGGCTATTCAGGAGCCCCCAACCATCAGTCAAGTCATTATCATACAAAAAGATTCATATTCCTTGGGAGATTCCAAGGATTTTAGTTGTTTTATGCCAGGAAACTGGGAGAAAGACCAAATATATATTTCATAATATCATGCACAGCTACAAAGTCCCTTTTGACATAAAAGGTAGCATTCATAGGTCGTGGGCATATCTGGTGCTATTATTCAGTCTACCCCAATTTAGGCTTAACAGCTAGGATCTAATAAGTGGTCATTTATCTAGAGGGTAAAATGGAAATAAATCATTTTCAAGGTAAACACTTAATGAAAAATTCACAACTGCCTGGAAATTGTTTTGAGAGCAAACATTCACTAAAAAATTTTGGCTTTTATTTTAGATTCAGAGGGTGCATGTACAGGTTATATGCGTATTATTGCATGATGCTGAGGTTTGGGGTACAAATGGATTACGTGACCCAGGTAATGAGAATATGAGCCAATAGGGAGTTTTTCAGCCCATGCCTCCCTCCTTTCCTCCCCCTTCTAATGGTCCCTAGTGGTTACTACTCCCATCTTTATGTCCATGTGTACTCAATGCTTAGTTCCCACTTGTAAGAACATGTGGTATTAATTTTTTTTTTGTTTCTGGGTTAATTCACTTAGGATAATGGTCTCCAGCTGCACCCACGTTACTTCAAAAAACATGATTTTGGTTTTTTTATGTCTGCATAGTATTCCACCATTGATGGGCACCTAAGTTGATTCCATGTCTTTGCTATTCTGAATAGCGCTTTGATGAACATATGAGTGCATGTGTCTTTTTGGCAGAATGATTTATTTGCCTTTGGGGATATATCCAGTAATGGGATTGCTGGGTCAAACTGTAGTTCTGTTTTCAGTTCTTTGAGAAATTTCCAAACTGCTTTCCATAGTGGCTGAGCTAATTTCCATTTCCACCAGCAATGTATAAGCATTCTCTTTTCTCCACATCCTTACCAACATCTTTTTTCTTTTTTACTTTTTAGTAATAGCCATTCTGATTGGTGCAAGATGGTATCTCATTGTTGTTTTTATTTGCATTCTTCTGATGTTTAGTGATGTGGAGCATTTTTCCATCTGGCAAACACTCATTGACCAATGACTTGGGCAGGAGATTATTTCCCCCAGAGGATACTCGGCAATGAAGGAGGCCTCGTTCCTGCACAGGAAGAGTTGAATCTTGTGGGGTGGAGTCTCACAGATGATAAACAGTAACAACAGAAGTTCATCTTTTTTTTCTTTTTTCCAGCAAATGCTTGCTGAGAGCATACCCTTGCCAGACCCTATAACCAGGCTAGGGACTTAGAGACATGAGACATGTGCTCACACTTTATTTCAGGGGATTAGTAGAAAATGAGCCAAAATCCAGGCAACACATGAACATGTGAGGGATACATAAGGAGTGCTTAGGAGTTAGGAGAAGAGAGGGGAATCATTGCCCTTTCAAAATTACTGGGAGCCCAAAAAGACACCTTTTATCCTGCTCCAAGAACAAATAAAGAGAATGTGCTTGCTAACTTCCTCTTTAATAATGCAGAGGGAACAGGCACAGAAAATGAGAGAGAATAATGGAGGGTAGAAGCAAACTACTAAGAAAACCACAGGAGAAGGTGAGGTGCCTCTGGATTTCAAAGCCAAAAGTAAAGGCTTTTGATAGAGTCAAAGGGAGAAAATGAAGTTCATTTGTTCATTCATTCATTCATGCAATAAGTATTTATTGAGCATCTACCAATTGCCAGGCACTGTTCTAGGGATAAAGCAGTAGTTAAAGCAACTCTCATCCTCATGAAGCTTACTGATATGGTTTGGCTTTATCCCCATCCGAATCTCAACTTGAATTGTAGTTCCCATAATCTCCATGTATGGTTGAAGGAGGTGGGAGGTGGTTGAATCATGACTCATGCGGGCAATTACCCTCAGGCTGTTCTTGTGATGGTGATTGAATTCTTACAAGATCAGATCTGATGGTTTTATAAGGGGCTTATCCCCTTTTCTTGGCACTTCTCCTTCCTCCTGCCATGTGAAGAAGGATGTATTTGCTTCCCCCTTCGCCATGATTCTGTTTCCTAAGACCTCCCCAGCCAAGCTGAAATGTGAGTTAACTAAACCTTTTTCCTTTATAAATTAGCCAGTCTTGGGTATGTCCTTATAGCAGCATGAGAACGAACTAATACACTTATATTCTATGTAACAAATAGGTAAAATATGTAGTACAGGTTAAAAAGTATATTATCTGGTGCTATGTCTTATGGAGACAAATTAAGCAAGGAAGAGGGACAGAGTGCTGATAGAAAGGATTATTCCTCTCCTAGGTGAAGAAGTATTTATGAAGCGTCTATCGTGTGCTAAATGCTACAGGGCAGAGATGAATTCATTCATTTGTTCATTAAATATTTATTGATTGTTGTCTATGCGACAGTCAGTGTGCTAAACCCTAGGAAAACAAGGTGTCTGCCATAAAGAAACTTCCAGACTAGTGTGAAAGTCAGTGCATTTAATAATGCACTGTTCAAATGTACAATTACAAACTAAAGTAAAAGCTATGAATAGGACTGGGTGTGGTGGCTCACACCTAAAATCTCAACACTTTGGGAAGCCAAGGAGGAATGATCCCTTGAGGCTAGGAGTTCCAGGCTGTACTGTGCAATGATTATACTTGTGAATAGCCATTGCTCTCCACCCTGGGCAGCAAAGTGAGACCCTTATCTCTACAAAAAATACAAAAATTAGCCAGGTATGGTGGCGATAGTCCTTGCTACTTACTCAGAGGCTGAGGCTGGAGGTTGGTTTGAGCTGGGGAGTTCAAGGTTGTAGTGATCTATGATCATGCCATTATACTCCAGCCTGGGCAACAGAGTGAGACTTGGTCTCTGAAAAAGAAAAAAAGCTATGAATAGAATAGTTAAAAGAAAAGAAATTAAATGTAACAGAGTTTAATTGAACAAAAAACAAATTATGAATCAGGCAGCCCTAAGAACCAGAATAGGTTCAGAGCAACTCTGGGGCTGCCACATGGTTGTGTAACACTTATGGACAGAAACAGGAAAGTGATGTACAGAAAACATAAGTGAAGTACAGAAACAGCCGGAATGGTTACAGCTCATCATTTGCCTTATTTGAACAGTCTGAACAGTTGGCTGCTTATAATGAGCTAAAACTCCATGACTGGTACAAGAGTAGCTTACAGCTCACTATGTACGAAGAAACTTTTAGGGTGAATCTAAAATATGTGAGGAGGAAGCTTTAAATTAAACTTAATTTAACAGACTATAATATGTACATGTACTTAAGTTGGGGAATCACAGCAGGCATCTCCAAGGGAGTGATATCTGACTTGAGATCCAAAGAATGTATAAGAATGAAAGACATAAATGCTTGTTATAAACAACTATAACTGGCAGGGCGCGGTGGCTCACGCCTGTAATCTCAGCACTTTGGGAGGCCGAGGCAGGCGGATCACGAGGTGAAGAGATTGAGACCAGCCTGGCCAACATAGTGAAATCCCATCTCTACTAAAATACAAAAACCAGCTGGGCATGGTGGTGGGCGCCTGTAGTTCCAGCTACCTGGGAGGTTGAGTCAGGAGAATTGCTTGAAGCCAGAAAGTGGACGTTGCAAATGAGCCAAGATCACACCACTGTACTCCAGCCCCATGCCTGGTGAAAGAGCGAGACTCTGTCTCAAAAAACAAAACAAAACAAAACAACAACAACAACAAAAAACTACTGTAACTAAAAGAGTGTGGTATTGCCACAGAGTTGGGTAACTAGATAATGTAAGAGAACCAGGAGGCCAGAGCTAGACTCACCCACCTATGAAAACTGATATATGACAGGGGTAGCAGGTCAGTGGCCAGGTGTGAGCAATTCAATAAATGTTACTAAATAAAACATCTTAACCATATGGAAAAATGAAATTGTATCCCTGCCTCACATCCTACACAGAAATCAATTGCACATAGTTGAGAAACTTAGATATGAAAGGAAAATCTCTAAATCTTGTTGGGGAAAATATAGAATATCTTAAGGGCTTGGGTAGAAATAGACAAGTCACAAAAATCACTAACCATAAAGGCAAAAAAACTGAAGACTGGTACATGTGGTTACATTGCAATTCAAATTTCTATTCATCAGCCTACCCACAAAAAAAGTGGGCAGAAAAGAAAGAAAAAAAAATTAAGTTACAAATTACGAGAAAATATGTAACCCATGTAACTGGTAAAGAAGAGGTATCTAAAAAATATATAAAAGACTCCTAAAAATTAGTAAGAAAAAGACAATTCAACAACAAAAAAATGAACAAAAATCATGAGCAGGCATTTTTTATTTTTTTCTGAAAAGGAAACTCGAAGGGAAATAAATATATGAAAAGTGTTCAACCTCATTATTAGGTAATGCAAATTGGGTTCCCAGGACATCATTTTACACTTATTGCATTGTCAAAACTTAAAATATGGGAGGCCCAGGTGGGTGGATCATGAGGTCAAGAGATCGAGACCATCCAGGTCAACATGGTGAAACCCCGTCTCTACTAAAAATACAAAAAATTAGCTGGGCATGGTGGCGCGTGCCTGTAATCCCAGCTACTCGGGAGGCTGAGGCAGGAGAATTGCCTGAACCCAGGAGGCGGAGATTGCGGTGAGCCGAGATTGCGCCATTGCACTCCAGCCTGGGTAACAAGAGCGAAACTCCGTCTCAAAAAAAAAAAAAAAGAAAACTTAAAATATCTGACAATAATATCCAAGCACCTGCAGGTAAATCCAAAGTAAAGGCATTTGATTAAGTCAAGACAGAAAATTAAGTTCTTTAATTCATTCATGCAGTATTTATTGAGCCTGTGGTGGTGTGTGTTTTGGGGGTAAGGATTGGTAAAGTGTTATGAGTTACTGTTTTCATCCCCAGATTCCTATATGGAAGACCTAACCCCCAGTACCTAAGCACGTGACCTTATTTGAAGACAGGGCCTTTACACCAGTAATCAAGTTAAAACAAGGTCATTAGGATGGACCCTAATTGAATATGACTGGAGTCTTCATAAAAGGAGAAATGTGGACACAGGGACACACATAGAGAAAAGAAAATGTGGAGTCACAGGGAGAAGATGCCCTTTCTCCTGGCCCCTCTCCTAAAAACCGAGGAGAGGCATGGAACATATCCTTCCCTCACAGCCCTCAGAAGGAACCCACTCAGCCCACACCTTGATTTTGGACTTCCAGCCCCCAGACTTGTGAGACAATAAATATTTGTTGTTTAAGCCGCTCAGTCTGTGGCACTTTGTTACATCAGCCCTAACAGAGTCAAACAGGTGGGGATCTGCTTTTGGGCTTCTCTGTCTCACGCAGGTCTCGAGGCAGGAATTGCCTTTGTTTGTAATCAAGGGTGGGCGGGATTGCCAAGGTTCCGAAATGCACTGTGAAGATCCTCTAACTATGCCTGCCATTCCGCTCCAGGCTTGGGGCTCTTGTCCTCCCTTTCTCCAACCAGCGAAAAAACGCTTGAGCGCTCTGAGTAAATGCCTTCAACTCGGTGACACCCCCTGCTTCGGCCACACCCGCAAACACCCGCCCGGACCAGGCCCAGAACAGGTGCCCAAGAGGCGTGTTGAATGAATACATTCATGCGCTCTTTGAAGCTGCCTGAATTCTAGTTTCACCAGCATCCCCCTCTGCCCGGTCACCCAGACGGCCTTCTCCAACCTTGCGGAGTTGAAGTAAGCTGAGGAGCGCTCAGTGTGGCAGCTCTGCTTGTGCAGGGAAGGGGCCAGGATGCAGAGGGGCCGCGCAGCAGCGAGGACGCCCCGGCTCAGCGTCCCGCCAGCCTCGGGATCGCGCGCTGCCCTGGGGGAAGGGCTGGTCCACAGCCAGCGGCTCGCGAGTTAGAACCCCCTGAGCCCGGTCCCTCTCAGGGAGCCGGCCAGCCGCCGAGGTCCCCGCCTGCGGGGTACGCCCGCGACTCTGCCAGCCTGGGTGCGCGTGTCCGGGTCTCGGCCGGCTCCCCGTCCACCAGGCGGAGCTGCAGGGCAGCGCCACGAGTCTGCCGGCCCGCGGGAAAACCGCGCACCGGCCCCCGGCCCACGGCCAACCCCAGTTCGACGACATGTTGGGCGTCTCACTCCGGGTGGGTTCCGCGGCGCGGTGTATTTAAGGGGTATTTAAGAAGTATCTCCGTCGCGACTGCCAGAAGGAAAGAGGCGGGTGGTGCGGAGGCCGACTAGCGACCTCCCCCGCTGCGCGGAGCCGAAGCGGGAGGTCACGGGCGGGACCGCGGAGGGCGGGGAGTAGGGCGGGACGGCTGGGATTCCGGAAGGCGTGGTGAGGGCGGGGACTCCAGCGCCCCAGCTTGAGGAGACTAACCCTTCCCTGTCAGGCTTGCGTTGGGAGGTGAGCTGGCCGGCCTTGCCGAGTAGGGGCAGATGCGGGGAGGCTGGCCGAGTCTCTGGCAGTTGAGTGCCCAGGTCCCCTTCCTGGAGAGTGTTGGGGAGTTCCCAGGCCCTAAGCCACGGGGCACGACTTAGAGCTACGTACCCAAGTTCTGTCTTTAGGGACTGGACCCCTCACTTCGGATTGTGTGTTACGGGTAATATCCTCCCCCTCCACCTCAAGGAAGGGACGCCCAGTGTGGGAACATTTGGCTGTGGCCAGGAGGGACCTAGAGAGCTAAGCACCCCAAGCCATGTGTGCGGCCCGGTCCAGGGGCCTGAAACATCCTGTCTGTGTGACCTGCACCTGACCCCTCCCTATCCTCTGGGCCACCGGCGATCCCAGCCACCTTATGTGTCACTACCGTTCCCTGTGCCTGTTTCTTCCTTCAGGCGGAGCCCAGCTTCTGTGCCTTTGGTGTGGGGAGGGTGTCTTGTGCCTGAGAGCTGCCCTGCCCAGGGCGTGCAAGACCTCAGGTGCTCTGCTCACATTGTGTCTGCCAGGACCCATCCCTGCTCCTGGCCATCACCGTCATTGGGGTCACTGTGCTGGTGTTGGTCCTGAAGAGCATGAACTCCAGGAGAAGAGAGCCTGTCACCTTACAGGACCGTGAAGCCAAGTACTCACTGCCTTTGATTGAGAAAGAGGTAATGGGCAACCCTGTGGGTGGAAGCCTGGGATGGCAGGGCAGTCAGTCATTTCATGGCCTCCGGTTCACTCCCTGCTGCCCTGTGTGCGGGTGCTGGAATAGCACCAAACGGACCTCCTTTCCCTGGCATCTCAGCTGCCCAGCAAGGCTTCTAGAAAGCTGACAGAACCTGCCTATGTTTTGTTTTATTAGAAAATCAGCCACAACACCCGGAGGTTCCGCTTTGGACTGCCTTCGCCGGACCATGTCTTAGGGCTTCCTGTAGGTGAGTGGGGCTTGGGTCATCACCAGGACTGGGCCCCCGGGGACTAGGACCTCCTCTCCTAACAGAAACACAGGTTTCCTACGTCCTGAAGTGTGGAAGATGCCCTCATGGGCCTCCTGAGCCATGTCAGCTCAGGGACATAGGTGGATGGATGTGGGACAGTACATTTCTTTTCTTCATTGTTCTAATTGGGCTGACACAAGAGTGGTACCTCAGTGAGCACTGAAAAGAAGTGAACCTAAAGCAAAAGGCTTAAGATCTCATGGAAGGCTCTTCGCTGGGCAACTTTAGGGAAGTCCTTCAAGTCTATGAAATGGGGTCTCTGAGGCCTGCCTGCCTACCTTACCTGGGTTGTTGTGAAAGTAGCGTGACTGATGGATATGAAAATTCAGAAAATGCAGAGTGTTGTGCACATGGGAGGGATGGGAGGAACCATTCAGGGGAAAGGCCCAGAATGTGCCGGTAGGCAGGAATGAGTCAGGTGCCCCCTGCCCCCACTGTCACTTAGATTCTTTGCAGGAGCCTCAGGCCCATGTCA